ACGTATTTTTGCACAAACTTCTAACCGCACTCGACAAGTCAGCTTTCCAAATTCGCTACAAGCGTTTCCCAAAATAGTATGAAAAGCAAATATTGGAATCGCAGGCATACTTGAAAAATGTACTGCGTTCTTTTTTCGTGATTTTCAGCAGTTTATTTCACGGAAAACTTGTGGACTGTAATGCAGTTTAAACTAGAAAGAACAAGCAGGCAATCTTATGGTACATCTGACTACTTTCTATGACTATATAAAAAAAAAAAACAAATGAAAATAGGAGGAGTTTTTCAGAAAAAAGGAGATGGTAACTATGAAGTAGGGAAAAAAGAAAAGGAAAGACATGTTGACGACCAGTACATTACTTTATTTAAGAAAAAGAAAGAAAACGGCATGTATTTACATAGCCAGTTTAAAACTACGTGTTTGGGAGAATTTTAAATACGATAATTACAGGCTATTTGTTATAGAATTTGCATAATTATGTAAACACATCGATTTCTCTTCATCACAAGTAATGCAACATATTTACAATGGCGTACAGAACCTTGAAAAATATTGAACCAACCAAAATATTCAGGAACTAATGTACATTAAAAAATATATCACTATTAATAAAATGAAAGCGAGGAGTAGACGACACCAGTTTGTCAGATCAACTGTCTACTGTTCAATATTCCATCTTCAGGGCAATGTTCAGTGTTCATTATTTTCGATGACAAGTATTCATCATTGTTCCTGCTTCAGATATTCATATGTCTAGCCTTCCTCAAGGATTTTAAGCCAACCCTCGATGGAATATATCACAAGCACGAAGTAATTACATTTAGGTAGTTTAGCTAATATACAAAATTATCTTTACAAAATAAGCTTTAAAATAAAAGTACAGTCAGTGAAAATTATAGAAAAACACTAAGGTGATAACAACCTTACACAAATCAAATCAGAAATAAGCAGATTGTTTGAATATGGCTTCCACGCCATACTGTAGTTCCTTTGCTGTAGAAGTGAACTTAACACCCCAGTGGGTAAATAAATACCTTATCACACGTACATGTACAGTAGTCCTCAAGATGGTCCACTTCTAAATATCTTGTGGTCTTTTACTCTGGCCAGTCAAACTTAATAGAGGGCAATGGTTAGGAACCCAGACAAAGTATCTTTGTTGAATCTGTTTTTGTTCCAGTTTTGATCATACACAAAACACAACAGAAAACAATGTAGTTGCTCCCTTCTGACGGAGGAACTTAGCAGTAGAAAGGTTTTGGTTAGTCATAATTCATGCATAGTGTATGAGTGTAAAACAAGGATTGTGCAAGGTTGTGGACATTGCAACATGAATCTTGGTATCTTGCTCCTGTGAAGTTTTGCAGACTTCATAACCATTCACCTCTGTTTATGATGCACTAGTTGAAAAAAATTTCAGCTCAATATGGTGTGGAGTTGACTGTCACTCATAATGAACAAAAGGTGCATATTGTTTTGAAAAAATAAAATGTAATAACTTTAAAAAAAGAATTTCATTGCAAACCTTAGCACATAAAAACAATTCCTATTTACTTTAACTTAGTAAGCAGTGCTTACAAAATTATTTTGCAAGCAAAAGACTGATTCAGAAATATTTTCTGAAAGATGCAAAGGCCACTTTCTCATATTCTAAGGCTAATATATGGTTCCTTGAAATTCATCTGTCTTGGAAACGTTTCAACTGAGCTTGAAATATCCAAATCCTTTGTAATAGTCACAAACTCCCCTTTTCGCGTGATTCTTTCTTTTTTTCTTTCTAGTCTCAATTTGCTTTAAAGTCTCGGTCATATTTTCAAATAAGGATCTCAGGCTTCTCAGCCTCTCAGCAAGTCTTGGATTCCACCATTCATCACCCCTTCATCTCAGATGTAACATTTTTTGTGAATTAATTCAGTGGGATAAAATAAGTATTGGAATACCAAAATTCTTCTTGCTCTCATAAATCTTGACAATCAAAAAGTTGGACGGGATAAAATTTTGACTGTATATTTACAATCTTCACAATAACCCCTGGAAAAATGGACCTCACATTCCAGGTTATGAGTTGACTCTAATATTCTTGATGATAACAATGTTTTGGTTAATTGTGGCAAATACTAATTTCGATATAACAAGAAAGATGTCATTTTACAAGAAAGATGTCAGTTCCATGAGATTCATTTGTTTTTGTCACAACTTCAATGACATCTGAGTTTACACTGTACTTCAAGTTTCCTATTAAAAGTGAATCCTTACTAATAATTAAAATTGCTCAGACTGTTGATTATCTCACTCATTCTTGCTCCCAGAAGGTAACCACACCATGATATCACATGACGCGAACACATGAGTCCCGTATGGACTGTATAGGTGCAACCCACAACAGCCAATGATAGCAACAATTCATCATATATAACGGCAACTTGCAGAGACGCAGCTGGGACAGTTTACCTCCAATAAATTTCAGGGCATCAGTATGTCAAGTTAAGGGCAACATGATATGAGGCAGTGCAAATGTCAGTTAAAAAACTCACAGACATCATTTTCATGTTTTCTACTGACACTACAAGTAAATGGTAGGTGTAGTGGGAGGTCTGTGTTCAAGCCCTGGTTTGTGTTGTGTTCTTGGACAACAGACTAAACTCTCACGGCATCTCTCTCCACACAGAAGGGGAAAAGGATACCAGCAATTTTTGTAGGAAAGTACATGATCAAGTTGATCAAGTTTCCAAACACCTTAAATTTGGTCAAAAATACTTAAATTGTAGCACATTTATATTTGTCAAATCTGTGTGGAAAATGTAATGAAACTCTGTCTATCATGAAACTTGGTAAATTGCTTCATGTAATAACTTTGAAAATTTACTCATTCAAATGTTTTTCCATATACTGATTTTAGATACATGTAATCATAGTTATGATCAATTAAACCAGTTGGTCAGATACAACTTAACTCCAAATCCCACATAAAACAAACACCACAAATTTCAAAGGATATGCAAGTGTCCAGGGAGGCTCGCCTCCATTGATATAAAGCACGTAAGAGAAGCCATCCTTGTGCATCCCATCAATAGCGTAATACAAAGGTAGGTAGCGAAACTGCCTGAAATGTCTCTTGTCATAAAATTTCATTGCAACTGAGTTTGTGGTTAAAACATGAAGATAGACAGCTTTGCAGTTTTGTCTCTCGGGTGTGGTAAGGTGTGAGAGTAAGCTGTCTAATAGAAGAGACCCTGAAATATAGAGAAGAACTTTTTACACCTGTATGTAGCAATTGCTCATGCTCTGTCTATAAGCCATGCAATTATATTTATGACTAAATAGGAACACTGCAGTGGCCAAACATTCTACTTTTATTTAGCCTGTGTAGTAAGCATTACCTTACAAAGAGCATTTTCCGCATTCTGGACACTTGCAAATCGGAGCAAGAACAAAAAAAATCAAGAAGGCAGGGAGTGATGATTTTTTTTGTTCTTGCTCCAATTTGCATGCAGCCAGACTGTGGAAAAATCTCGTTGTACAGGAATGCTTGCTGC